GCATGTCACATCAAGAGACAGAGAAAGAGGAGGACTTACGGGTAAGTACACATTTCAAGTCCTCAGACAAATTGCAGCGGTTTTATACAACTGCTAATACAGTGTGTATTATAAATTCATAAAATTAATGGTTACGTTGGGCCTGTGGCTAAATCATAGCAAAACCCATGGTTAATGGAGACACTTGAGGAGAAGAATGTTCAGTGAGGTGAATTCCTCCTGAAGACAAGGTAATAAGATGTTATATGTCTCTGCCCTGCTGAGTGAGATGACAAAGTAAAGAGCAAAAGCTCACCCGGCGTACGTTCGCCTGATATATTCATATGGGGGATACACGAGAAGTGATCTTTTGGATTTTTCTTCTTTTTAAAAAAAAGGAATCTGTGCCCCTCTGACCTGTAATTATTATGGCATCTGTCAGAGGCATGTAACAGTCCTAGTGAAGAATGTAAAACCATATCTCTGAGACTGCCTGTCATCCCCACTCAGCACTGAAGGTTTGAATGGGTAAATTTTGGCTTTGATATGAATAAATCTACAATTATCAACAGCTTATAAAGATGACAAAGTGGTTTTGTTTCGGTGGAAGCAACAATGCCGTCATTTTTCCCACTGAACGTTTTTGCACACTAACTTAATTGGATTATAATGAGAGCATTTGGCAAGCAGTCTTTCACCGTGCAGTGTTGCACAGCAGGCGTCAAACAAGGCAGTGATGCCTAAAGCTCAGAATGACACTTTTCAGTAGACTAACTCCGTCTATTTATCCATGACTGTATGTTTGCGGGACTGCCTTCATAGCTGATGTATCGGAGATAATTTACTTTAGATTCGTGCACACAGTGTTTGTTCCACCATTGCACCTGGGTATCCTCAGCTTATCCCCCTTCTGCAGGCGTACTTGTCTTTAAAAGGCTTGTAACTTCAGTTTGACACATGGCCAACTGCTCTGGTGTTGATTGCTTCCCAAATACTTAATAGAACTGAATCCCACATCTGCAAACAACAAAGTCAGACCATGACGTTACAACACAGGAAGTATAGTCATGAGAGTTTGGGTGTTTAGCGTGTTTATATTTGATCTTAATGTGCATAAAAGTATTTTATGTTGCACAATCTTTCTTCTAGGAATGAGCCACAATGCCCTGACTTATTGGGCTGTGTAAAAAGCTGTAATGTGTTGAGATTAGAGTATTATCTTGTCTATGATAAATACAACACTGTTTATTTGGAGTGCAGCTGTTAGAGACAGCTTTCTCCACTCTGAAAGTAAACATAGTTAAATGCCTGCTCTGCATGATGAAACTAGCAAGTGAACAAGAATGTGACTCCTTACCCCGAATGTCTTGCACCATCTCTCTTCATCATTTGTCTCCTATATCTTTTACTCACTTGTATTTACAAGCATGCATGCATGCATGCCTTGTGCCAGACTCTAACTTTCATCTCCATGGCTCTATGGCAGAGACAATAGTCTTCTCAGCGTGGACAGGCTGAGACAAGCCAGAGATAGATAAACTGAGGTGTGGATTTAAGCCTTTTACTGAACTGAATTATATATGACAGTTGTGTCCTTTTCAAATACACAAAATGGTGTGCACTTGGCATTGGTGGGGCAAACTTTGACGCTATTTTCCAAAGATTAAAGATTTTCCGAAAAGGAAAAGGATGTGAATGGGATGTTTGTTGGCCTTCTTTGCATCCCTGTTTTCTATCACCTTCATTGAATGTTTACCAGCCTCCACGGTGTGCTTTAAAGAAGCCATAAATGGCAGAAAGTGTCCTTCACTTGCCTATAAAAGGATGTTGGCTCCTTCATGAGAAGAGGTATGACAGGGACAAGTATGAAAGAGCAAAGGAGGGATTCCAGTGCTTCTTCAGTACAGGTTTTGTGAGAGATTCAACGGGTGAGATGAAAAGGAGTAGCTTGAGAACATGATTAATGCCTCGAGCTTCGAGCTATCTGTCAGGAAGTTATCAAATAATTTATACAGAATATCAGGAACTATTTTAACCTATCCCAAAAAGTGCACACATGACATGCACCACCTCAATGTGCTTATCACCGTGTCTCGCTATCTTCTTGAAGTTCAGGAAAATGGTGCAGCCACAACTTACAATGATGTAATTGTGGCCCAAACTATAAAGTCAAGCCGAAAATACTATGTCTTTGTGCTTTCGTTTTGATTATTTTATTTAATTTTAAGGAATTTACTGCTATTTAGACCTTTCTGTCATCAGGTTCGGAGACATGTAATATTGCTGACTACCAATATCTTCCTGTTATTTATTTTGAATTTATGTATAGTGTATAAAACGTATTACCTTAGCATTACATGTTTATTGTGCATTTTTATCTATATGTGTTATATTTCCTATGTATTCAGCCTCAAACCATTATTTTAACTAGTTTTATTCTATTTTTCCGACCAGCTCAAACATTGCAGCCTCATTCAAGACTCAAGAAGCTTTATTTATCCCAGAGAAAATTGTAGTCAAAGTGGAAGATAACAATATGATTTTGTCACTAAAATAACATTCACAATAGTTCATATTTAATGCGTATGACTAATTTAAACCAGCCCATGACTTGGATGGATGGAAATTTTCACTTACCACTAAATGTCGCTGAAAACTGTATATTTTGTTTACCCCCGGTCCTCCCAGAAGTCTGGTAAACATCTTTTGTCTTCACTTGTCCTCCATAAGTTTGCAATTTTTCTAGCGCTTTAATGGGCTCAACCATTCAGCTTCAAACAACACCACATCCAATGTTGGCAATGGAAATTAGATCAGTGGGTAAAATGCAGGCCAGACGGTGAGCAAAGCACTGCAAAGGGCCAATGACACAAGCACCATGACTTCACTCTGGAAGTATTCCACCCCCCTTAAAACCCTCCAACCTTCAACCCTCAACCCTCTCATGCTTTCTCAACACTGGTGAGTGGAAACTGTTTAAGGTTTAATGCTTGCTGAAAGAAAATTGAGGAAAAGCTGTCCTATACTGTGAGGTGTCCTGTGTGACGATGATCAGTGGTGACATGATGTCTTTTGGTGGCCATCAGGCATGATATCTTTTCAGTACCTCTCCACAGCATTGTGTGCCATTTACTAACTTTTCCTTTCTACTTGTGGATCCTGAATGTCCAGCAATCAAAGCAGGATCATACAACTTACTTACATACTTGTGTATGCTGTATGCCGTGCATTTATATTTATCTGAATTAGCGGAGCCTCAGTGAGAATCCTGTGAATTCAAAAAGTTTATCAATTTGTTCAAGTGTGTTTGGTGTTCAGCACCATTCAGAAATCCATCTGAGTCAGGAATTCTATTATATAGAAAAGAGGTGCACGATAAAAGCCTAAAGAGGTCGGACAAGGGTTGTGGATAATAGATGGAAAGAGATAGACTGTTCTACATTTGGAAGCAACATAATTCAGCCATGCTATCAGTGTTTACCAAAGTATCCATTTTCACAGCGTCTCTATTTAACAACGGCAGCTGGGACTTTGCATTTTATCACTGATAATGAATTAGGTTGGGAAGATGAATGGTGTTTTGCATGGGTGCATGATAAAAAAAAGATCCCAGCATGCGACACTCTCAGATAAGAACCTGACAAATTGCTAGTCTCTTCTGGCAAAGTCAAGAAACTTGCTATAGGATTTTGAACTTGTGGATCTTCTTCAGATCTAAGTAAACCTCAGATAAATTGGCTGTGATCTATTGTATATTGAAGGAGTAGATCTTTTTAGTTGGGGATCATTTATTCTCCTGCACATTTATATCACTCCTTCGATGCCATGTTGTTCTGTTACGACGGCTTTAACATGACACGCTCTCTGCAAGGCCACTACTCCATTAAATTCTCCTCCTTATCCTATCCTGGCTATGTTGATGGATGCAAAAGCTCAAAACACAAATGATAAGAAGGCGCTGGATATGTTCAAGGTAGACAAGGGAAGAAGAAAAGGGTGGGTGGGTTAGCGACAGGGGGACATGGGTAGCTGGAGGCGGAGGCAGCTCTGGAAGCAAGGCAGTTTGATTAATGGACACCTTTGAGCTCATTGCAGCCTCAGAGCCTGCTCGCCTGCTGCATTTCAGATCTGAGACATTCTCTTGGCAGCGTGGCAAGAAGGATAAACCTTTAGGTCACTAACCTCCATTGGTGTATAACTTGCATATACACTCCCTGATTTTGTAGTAATTCATCAAAGTGTATTTAGGTTCCACCAAGCAAAAATGTGCCTTTGGGACACGCCGTGTGCATGTGGATAGCTGGTCATTAATATAGCTGAAGGTCAAAGAAAATGGAGATGAACAAAAAAAAAATGTAAATGTTGGTTTCACGTCTGTATTATAAAAAATACGGTTGTGAGAGATGTGTACATGCCCGAGTTCTTTTTTCTTTTTCATCTGAATACAGAAAGGAAAGTTTGATTATGGAAAGCTTTTCCACTTTCAGGGCTGCAATGAGGGCTGAATTCCAATTTGTCATGTAGTAGTCAGTACTAGCTCTTAAATCTGGTTTGAATTCATCATCTACTCTCTATGTTTTTGTTGCTATTACCAAGATGTTCCCACTTTGTTTGAATTTATTTCCCAAATCCTTCAGATTGTCTGATCTTGTCAGGATCATTTACACAAACAGGCAGGCGGAGGATCATGTCTATGACGGGTAATTACACTTTATAGGAAGTCCCTGCAAAGTGACTGAAACTGCGAGTGTTTAATCCCTCTACCTACCCTTATCCCTGCATGTGGATGTGTATTAAAATGTAGACATGAGAAGACTTCTGCAACTGCCTGCAGGTGTATCATTGCCTTTGTCCTTCTGCAAGACTGAGTCAGTGTTTAGACATAACATGCCTGTTTTTCATTTTGACTGTATGTTTGTGTGTGACTGACTGGTTGAGAAGTCCCAGATATAACTCTGTTTGGGGTAACAGGAAGAAGCACGATGTAACTGCATGCTGCCTTGAACATTGTCATCATACCAATGCTGGAGAATGGGGTCTTTGCCCAGCAGGAAACCTGCATTTGGTTCGTCTACCTTATACCCGAATATAGGAAGTAGGTGTTGTGTCCTTATGACATGGCGTGTCCAAGCTATGTTTAGGTACCTATCTCAAGATGGTTGGTTTTGTGATGTTTGATTTGAAAGCTCAACCACTTATTATTATTGCTTCTTTGTATTTTGCTTCACTGTTGAGCTGGAACTCATTTATTTTAGGCAAGTGTGACCTGCTGTTCTACATATATGTTACAAGGTGTTATCAAAAGTGTGTAGATTGTTAGAAAGTCTAAAATCTCACTTAGTTTTACATGTATTCACTACAAAAAGTTATCTGATAGTTGCACTAATTCTATTCGAGAAACCAACTTTTTCTGCTTTGCCAGTGTATGTCAAATAAAATGCTGGGTTGCGCCCTCTGTTAGGGTTGTAGAGGACGAATTGAGAGTTTAACATCACCACCAAAGGTTTTCAGTCCTGTGGAATGAGGGCACTGTTTATTAGTTGCCATAGAGATGCATCCTAGAAGGGGAAAAAAAGACGACATATACTGGAAATGACTTCCAAGATATTCATCCCAGCCAACTCACACTTGGCTGGTCCCCTCAATTTTCATGGCCAGCGTAATGCTTTTTTAGATATCAACTCGTTTTTTCAAGGTTTCAAAGGGGAAAGTTCTGAGTATTTTAGTCTGCTGCGGTGGTGGAAGATAATCTGTGCAGCCGTAGTCTTACAGCTGATAATGTTGTTGCTCCTATGAATGATCCCCTGGACAGACTTAAAGGAAATATTCACCTGCTGCTTGTAAAGACATAGTTTATTTGTGTCTTCAGACATTGGGATTGATGTTTACACTGAGGAAAAGAAGCTCTCTTGTCTGGACATTAACACCATGTCCAGGTGCCGTCATTGCGCCCATGAGCCACTAGTCTGAATGAGTTATATGTAATTGCTTGCAGTTGTGGCTGTTTAAAGCTGGAGTGTGGCATGCGTGTATTGCTGAGTGTGCAGCCTGTGAAACCCAAAGCTTGTTACTTGATGTCACGGCCGTTGACTCAGCAGCGGTAGGAGACCACCTGGGTATAACCAGGAGTCTGCAGGAGCTACGATGTGCTGCTAGCTTTGGGACTTGGTGTGTAGTCAAGATGTGTGATGCTAAATTTTTGTGCGAAAACCACAAAGCTGATGTGGAAACAGCAAAGGTCATAACATGTTTAGGTCAGAGTGCAGTCATTGTTGTAATGCTTAGTGGGCTGGCCCACTGTTGATGTGCTTATCTAATAGATTAGATTACATGGACTTGCATTATTATTTACCTGTATAATTGTGTGATTACATGGTTAAAATGATGTGGAATTTAGAATGAGAGTGAATTTTATTAACAGGACAGGGATAACCATATGGGAAGAAAACAACCAATCTAAAAAAAATTGCAGTTTTAATATGAGAAATATCAGACACATTAAAGCTCTTCACAAATTATACTTGTTAATGACCAAAACAGAGTGTTTTTACATTATGAATTCTAGTATGTAAGAATTAATACAACAATACGTGTGAGGCATTTATTTGTGTTGACCTAGGTCAGTCAGCAGATCAAAATGAATAATGAATAATGTTTTTCAAGAGTTGAATATGCTTCATCTATATGTTTTTTAGCCTGATGTCACTTTTCCTCTTACAGTGATGTCTTATGTTATATTTGCAGAGTTTTGAGGGGCTTAATTTCTTACTAATAAAACAATAGTTTTTATCCCTAAATGTAACCGCAGACAGCTATGAGTAAAATAAAAATGTGTTTCACATCAAATTTAGGAGACATGAACTATGCTGAAAGGTGAAACTAAGTAGAACATTTTTGATTTTGTTAATTCATTCTGGATTTTGTTTTTAATTCATGCCAAGAGTGCAATTTACAAAGTCACACAAAATTTAATTTCTACTTTTAGCACTGAAGATATCAAACCCAAACCACTCTTTCCTTTCCCGCTCTGGAGGCCTGTCTTTTCAGCACAACATCCTCCCCAGGGGCTTGCAAACCTAAACCAAATCAGCCAGTTTGGAAGTAGAAGTACAGTGACCTCACAAGAGCATGCTTCTCATTCAGGTGAAATCTGAAGAGAGATGAGCTGCGTCACACACACTGTACGTACTGAAAAAAGCGGGATGTTTTAAAAGCGCACACATATTTAAAGTTATGAAAGTTTAAATAAAATAAGGCAGACATTCAAAAAGTGCTACGTACTCAACTAGAGAGCGGATACCTCAAATTTCAAAGAGATTCCCTAGCAAGTCGATCATAGGGTTATCACGACAAAGAAGATTTGTAAAAAGTAGGTCAGCTGTTGGAAACTTTGGACCCTGGATCAATCGCAGTGTTTATTCAAGATGACAGAAGTTAGAAAATCTTAATTCTGGAACAATAGAACAAAGAAATCTTACTTTTTAACTCTAAAGCTTACAGCCACCCCAAAGTCATTGTGGAACACCCAGAAAGAAAGCCTTTTTCCCACGTGTGTTTTGCATTGAAATCACTTGTGAAAGTACACAGGTTGGATGTAGGATCGAAACTGATCTGCTGATGATATCTTGCCTCTGGTAGTAACAGTCTGTGTGTGAGGGCAAGTCAGCATAACAGAGCGGTCCACTCAAACCAGTAATGCTGTCGTCACTCAGATGATTTCCCAACAGTAGCATGGTGTGGGACTGATCTTCCCATTTTTTATGTGAATATCCAAATAGGAACAGTTATGCCAAATAACAAGGTCTTTACTTTTTCTTGTTATAATAGACAATAGATTTTTGGGGGTTTGTGTTTGTAACTGAGCAGTTTTAAAAAAAAATCTGAAGCGGTCAACTTTCAATTAACTTATAATTTCAACTTCATTGTTACTGCAATCACAACCTCCATCTTCTCTCACCACACTGTTTACTGCCTCACTGTGTGCCTGAAGATCAACTAGCAAACTGTCAAGGTTATTTTTTTTCTTCCTCAGCATTTGCTTTCTCTTCTCTCACTCCTGCTCTGCTATTCCCTCTGCCATCTAAACATTTACTGGCAAATACCAGCACAGAAAAGGGTGGAAAAAAGGCAACCTTTTTTTTGCATTCTCGAGGCTGTGACTCTCCAAAACCCCCATTGGCACACAGGAGTTAACTGCATAGTTTCCTCAATGCAAACCAGATGTGAGGCAGTAATGTATGGCAGCGTTTTTTTTCCTTCAAAGGAAGACAAATGTAGGCCAAAAATGTAGTCTTTTGGCCTTCCGCTCGTGATGATATAGGAAGAAATTCCAACTCATTTGGGTTCCAAACTTTCCCTCGTGGTGGTTGGGTCAGTACTGTATGATTTATGGTAATTACAATGTTATTGTTTGGCATCCGTGGCTCATTGTGGAACATTGGGATGGGGACAGTCTTATGGAAAAGGAGTGATGACCCAACATAGTTTCATTTTCCTCAGTGTCCAGTCTTTTTGATGAATGGAACTAAACGGTTTGAGGTAAATTCTTGCAAATCAGCTTATATTGACATGATGCCACAGTGTAAACTGCAACGGAATGAAGGCTGATATTAAACGGCATGAAGTCACATCTCCACTTGAGCATGATCATTAAAAGTGTCCAAGAGGGGACAAATTACAAAGACTATGGTCACATTTTCTCCTGCAGGTAGTCATTTTCAGCCCTTTTGTTTATGTAGCTGGCTTTGATTTGGACCTTCTTCCGCCTCCCACTCCACACTAGGCAGTGTTTAAATGCTCAGGGACAATAACAGGTTACCGTTCCAGTGTCTGGTCTGCCTGTGCTCTGTTGTCTCGTCTGACCTCGGCTCCCACAATGGCAAGGTCTCAGGTGTGCCAGAAACGACCACCATCCCCTTACCCGTGATCAGTAAGTTTGCTCATAACTTTTAGATTTCTAGCTGTAGAAATCTACCGAAGGAATGTGGGTGGTCCGTTATCACTTCAGTGCAGGACGATGTGAAAACAAAAATTGCAACACGCATCATAGATCTCTGCTGATCTACCAATGGCATCTCAACAGTGGCTGTCTCCATTGGATGACCACAGATTGCTCAAGTCTTTGACTGTTATGGGACTGACTGTAGGTCTGGTTTTTCTGACTGAGAACCACTGTCACATCCACAAGAAAACAACCTAAGTATAACTAAACTAGGGCTGCATTGTAAAATATTTATTTTCCACATTTCTTTGAGGGAAGGTTTTGCTCACATTTAGAGCTGAATTGCTCTTTTGTAATTATTATTTGTATTTTCATATTTTTGTATTATAATGAGCACTTGGAAATATGTTTAAATGAGCACGCGTCTGTGAATGAGGCTGCAGCATTATCTCTCCTTCATGAGCAATTTCCTTCTCTTCCTGCGATAAGATTCATTGCTTCAGTGTCTCCTTTCAATTACTGGCTTTCGTTTATCTGATCCAGCGAAAGCCAAGAAGACCAGTGCGCCGAACGTTTGGCTAATTTATGACAAAACTATTTTTTGTGGCACTAAAACTCCAATGTTGTCTTGGCCTAAACAGGCCCGAGTGCTTTTCATGCAAGCACTTAGTCACATTGGTGTGATTAGTTTGTGGTGTAAATTGTCTCTGAGAGTATGAGCATCTAGAAACATATTTAAAGTAAAACAAAGATTATAATTCTTTAAGTGTTTTGTTGTAGTTAAGATCAGAAGCATTAAGCGGTTTATGCCTTTTCCTGTATTAGTCACCAAAAACGAAATTCGTTCAAGGAGCTGGAGGAAAGATCCGATGGCATATCCAGAAGGCCTTTTTCATGTGGCCACTAGACTAGAGAAACAAATCAAGTTTTATGATGTGTGCTTTTGAAATCATGCTATTTTTTTTATATGCTCAACCAGTGTCCAGCAGGGAACTTTTTTCCCATTTCAAAGGCTGTAGTGGAGCTTTACTGTATCTGGGAGATGTCCAGGCACCATACAGGACACAATGTGATTATACGTGTTTATCCAAATGCAGCTGTTTCACTTTTACCCTAATTTGATTTAAGACTTGTCATAAATTTAAGTTCCTGCTCCAGCATGCACTTTTCCTTAAATGTCACCTTTTTCTTCTTGCCTCCTCCTTTTGGCTTTATCTGGGACCTTTATAAAAGGAAACTTGCACTTGAAGGCGACCTGTTACGACAACATACTCTTTTCCCTGGTTTGTGAGTCCATTTGCTGCCAAAAGATCCAGACAGTTAAAGGTGATAGAGTGGCTTTTGTAGCTTCTACTTTGAAAAAGTAAATCATACCTTACTGTGCACAGTAAAATCCACACTTACTAAAGTATCCACTTCAAGTAAAAAGCACATCAATCATGATGGACCCGTAAAACACATACCGTACAAATACAGAGGTTAACTTCGAACTGAAATGGTTTCTTCTTTTCTTTTAATCCGGATCTCGATTGACAGTACAGGCTCAACTTGTATGAGTTTTCACAACTAGTATCAAACCGTCCTAGACTGGTCACACTGCCTTATCAGTATGGTGTAACTGCACAACTTCCACCTTATGCAACAGTTGTGACTTTATGTTTTCAGGAAAATCATCACTGTTGAATGTGATATTGAATAGTAAAATGGGTGTTTATTCATGGAGATACTTTATATCATACAACTTCCTCAAATGGAGTCTGACGTCTATATTTACTTGGCTGCGTCAGTGATGAATATATCTTTCATAGACAGTTTCGCATTAGCAACTTGTTCTTTCGGCAGTGTAATTATTCAAATATCCCCCCCCCTTTTTTTTTGCCACACCTGCAGGATCCAACAAGCGCGTACAGCAGTTGATTCAGACTTTCAGACTGGAACAAAACTCCCACTGACACTACTTACTTGTCACTATGCAGGGGTAGGTGTACATTATTAAGATGAGGATAATTATAGGCTTTTTCAATTTAATTTGTCTTGAAAACTTTCCACCAACCACCATTAAGTCAGAAATTATGACCGAAGCAGCTTATGATTATGTGTCAGATTGTGTGTCAACTGGTGTATCAATGAAATTTGAGACAGTCTCTGCTCTGATGAACTGATAAATGTGACACAGTGTTGTTTGTAGTGATACAGTTGGTGATGCTAATGCACAGACATCTACTTGCTGCTGTCAGGATGATCTCTCTTTACTGGTGTAACATGAAGCTCAGTGCCTTTTCAAGCGTAAGCAAAACCAATAAGAAGAAGGGGGGAAACTGGAAGATTTTTTTTTTTTCCTAATGCGCTGTTCGGATTTTTCATTTGGAATTAAGCAGAGCCTAAGCAAAGTTTGGTCTGGGGATTAACAGGCCTGCCTGTGGGACTGGACTGGACTTGGACTGCTTGCCCTTCAGTAACCAGCCATGACTTATGTTTCCCAGCAACAGATTTACTGTCCGCTTGCTTGCATTGGTTTGTTGCGCTGTGCTGTCTCACTGTTGGCCCTGAGTTTGACCTCCTTGTGCGAGTCAGGGAGTGTTGTAATGACTAGTAGAGTATAGCCATGAGTATAGCCTTGGCATTCCTCTACTATCTTATATCCGGATGTATGAAAACAAGCGAAAGGGTTTTATATATGTATTTCCTTAACACAGTCAATTTTCTGAGTCCTCTTTGGGTACAGAATAAAGACTGGGGCATTTAATTGAAATGTGTTAAAGGAAATGCTAGTTTTTCCGGTGATCTGATGTGGCCATACACCATATAAGACCCTATATTAATTAGATTAATGCCTGTAATAATAGAAAATGTAAAAAGTTTTCTTTTTCCAACAACAATGGACTCATTCACAATGACTGATACAGCTAATATTTTGTTATACTGTAAACTCTTTCCTATGCTCTTGATCCAGAGCCTGTACACAGACTATGAAATAATAAAGATCCCTACTTTGGGCAGTGAAATACTGAAATAAAAAAGCCTTACATTATTTGTTCTGTCAGAGCACAGTAGTGATTTCTTTGAAGGCCCACACTTTTCCCAGAGGGCTGAATTCAGTCACAGCTCTGGTATTTGGGAACATTATTAACCCAGAGTAGGGTTCTTAGTCACTGGGTACTGGGCACGAGGGAGATGGACCTCTGCTGAGAAGCAAGAGTATACAAGCAATTATTTTCTTCTCTTCCTTTCTCTCCTCTTCTCTTAACCCCTCTCGATGTTTTGGGTCAGCAGTTTCTACATACAGTCACATCTGAGTTCATCACCCCAGGGATCAGTTCACTGACGTCATGCCCCTGTCTGTGAGACTACGTCCCATCTGAAGTTCATTACAGGCTTTGCTTTGGCCAGTCGAACTCTCATACTTGAAGTTTTTCTCCACAATGGAAACACAACAAAAGTTTGGAGGCGGAAACAAGTTTTTTTTTTCTTTTTTCGTGTCCTTCCCTGGTTTTCAATGTTAAAGGATTGCTGGGTCCTCCTTGCTCAGACTCGCATCTCAGAACACAACACCTGTAGAGGGAGGTTTCTTATAAATGGGTTAAAAAAATGTATTTGATCTGGATATGGGGATATATATTTTTACCTATTCTGAACATTTCTGGTTCAACTTTTGCCATATCACAAGTACACTAACGTGTTGGTAGTATATATACTGGTAGAAGAGGCAGTAAATACTGTAACGGCCTGAAATTCTATCTGATATCAGACCAAGTAACACAGGCTTTCTAGCTTACTGAGTCATGCCTCGTCTCGTCTCCTTACCTGGCATGCTAAGACAGCACACTCTGTACCTACCTACCTGGCACTGAAAAGAACATTCAGGTCATAGAACTCTTTGTTGATCTAATTCATGCATTGAAGTTATGTGCTCTGACAATTGCAGCATTTCTTTATCTGATTTATGATTTTTTAAATATAGAAACGTTAACGTTTAAGTTCAACTCCTTCCTTTACATCACACAGACCAAACATTATTTTACTGTGAGATCCAGATTGATAAAATGAAGGGAGCCCTTTGAATTTCTGATGGCTGAATCGAATTATTAAATGTAAATGAAGAGATTATGCTGTGTGGTAATGTAGGCTCCATTGCTACAAACACATGACCAAAGGACTGTCAGGAATTTTAACTTTAAAACTTATGTTGTAAGGTGTCTGAGGTGGTGAAAATGCCTCAGGGGAAGCAGTATTATGCCACAGCAAAAAGGCTCTCACTGGGTTATATATTAGATCTGAGAACAGGAGAGATTTGTTAGATCTTGACTTTCTCGAGGTGACTTAGACCTTTTTTCTCATATACAGACAGTTGAAATTTGAAAATCTAAGGCTTTTTTATGATGAATTAAGTTATCAAATTTTCTCTCTCCATGAGGCCTCTTTTACAGTTTCTGTTTATTGTATTCATATGTGTGTTTGTGGTTGTAAGACAAGCACCAAAGGCCCAGTTTGAAGTTTGATAGATAGTTATATCAGTGATGATTGTTATAACTTAGTGGTGGGAATAAATAGCCAATGGTTCACCCAGAGAACCACACCACCTTTCACTGGGCTGCCCTCCAGCCACACTGTAATACTTTGTTAACCTGATATTGCTGCGATAATTCTCTTACTCTATTAGTCTGTCACTTTGTTGTGCACTCACTCATGATCAAGGAGCTTAAAGCATATAGGAAACAATGTTCTGAGACTGAATAACCCCTTCATCTGTACATGTGTAAGTTGAATGTGCCGCTTTATCCTGAAAGCAAGCCATGTGCTCAGGAGTCATGTTCAGACAGCTTCAGTTGTCTGAATTTTCACACTCTCAAATACATAGAGCATGTGGATCCGTTGGTGGTCCATGTCTGGTGAATAGGTTACTGTTTCATAGATATTGCTGGGTTTATATCATGTGCTTATTTTATTTGCAAATATGTTGTTTGGTTTTATTGACTATTGTTGTTAGGTTGCTTATTTTGAACAGTTTACAGTCACACAGTCAGTTAGGTGTTCCAATTAATTACAGGAAGAAAGCACCATTCCAGGCACTTTCATCAGAAGGCAATAAAAGTTATTTACACTTTATACTGTCTCTCTCTCACACGCCTTTTTTGTTTGCGTTTCTTTTTCCACTTGCTCACACTTGCACTGGGCTTCTCGGGCTCAGCTCCATTGTTTTTGCATGCCAAAGTATTTACAACATAAATATTGGCAGAAAAAGCATATTCTTTTTTTCCAACTTGTTTAATGAAAAAGGTGACTGAATCTTCTGTTAAGTCCCCCTCAACCCTCTACTCTTTTACTTGCACACACGTTTGTGCTTGCCTCTTTTCTTTTGTCCTTAGCTCTTATCCTAATTATAAAGATCTACTGATCTCTGTTTGGAACGCTGCTGACCTGAACATCCTCTCTCTGTGTTTCAGAAGAATTACAATGGCTGACCAGTTCGACTGTGACAATTGCAAAGAATCCCTTTATGGCCGGAAGTACATCCAGTCCGATGACAGTCCCTACTGCATCCCCTGTTATGACAGCCTGTTTTCAAATACGTGTGATGAATGCAAAGAGCTTATTGGCCATGATGCAAGGGTAAGGCATCTTTTTTTTACGTATATACTGATATATATATATATATATATATATATATATATATATATATATATA